GCGGCTGGACATGGAGGCCAAGTACCAAGTTTGACTAGACATTATTTTGGGCATGCTCAGTTTGTCTAATAACCATGCTGGTTGCAATTTAGTTTGTTGACATATGTACAACTTAATGATGCAAATGCAATTGTTCTGTTACTTACCATATTGCACCAATACACTGAATAAAGGTCCTTGTTGTAGAGTGTGCCGTATTGAGTTGCAGTTCATTCAGTAAATGGTCCATCAGCTCAACAAATAAACTACTGTTGGCACTTAAAACAAGATGACCTGAAAATAATGCCACAACAAGAAGATAAGACATAAAAGGATAAACATAAAAGGTAACATTTGTAGCCTTGTAAGTGCTTTGTTGGTCAGTATTGCCAACAAATCAATCACCATAGACTGTAATCTCTAACTACATCTTTGATAACATATGAGTCCATATTATTATATACACAGCAGAGTATGCAATAATGTTGAATTAGGGCCTCCCAGACATTGCTTATGTACAGTTCCTCTAATCACATACGTACAAGAAAGTACAGTATGGCTACAGATATCAATGGCTCATACAAAACACACTCTATTATAAGTGCTGTATATGAAAATTACCTAAAGCAATAATAGCTCTTTTTCTGACAGCAAGTCTTGCACTCTTAAGTTGTGGAAGCAAAGAAGCTTGAATGGATGGATGATAAGATACTAAAAGTCCTGCAAAACAAATAACATCGATTAGAAAAGCAATACACTTCCACATGTATTGTCCATGCTAGAACCCACTAGCATTTGTGTGTATACATATATTCAAGTATTCAGGGTTTTCAATAGAAGCTAGTAGCCCACAAATCTTGCCAGGTATTTTACTTGAACTTGCCGTCTATTTTAATTAAAGTTCCAATTAAACTTTGGGGAAAATGTGAGAAAGATTCTCTTGCTGCTCCCCACCTATTCATCATATTTTGCTGCTTAGTCAAGCTGGTATTGAAAACCCTGAGTGTTGTTGACAGCCTGTATCAACACCATACTAAAGTAAAATGTAAAGGTATTGCATAATTATATTTTACATGGATCATGTGGGGAGTGATAATGCTAAATAGAAAACAATAAAGTAACATATTTAGATCAAGGGAGAGAACCAGAAAGTCACAAGTGATGGTTGGTACAGAACCCATGTCCACAGCTTTTAGTGCAATACTAATAGGGTCATAATCTAGCTATAAACTTACCTCCAAACCTACTGAGCAGATCTCCAAGGATATCAAGAGCTTCCAGCTGGACAGACACATCTGTACTCTATGTAAAATATACAGATTGGTGATCAGGGCATGGATAACTTATAATCACAGATTACATTAAAACTTGGCATTGATCTGCTGTAAGTCAGGGCATGAACTTGGTGTGATCTAAGTCATGGCTCGGATAACAACAACTCCAGATTACATTATGACTTGGTGTTGGAGGTTTGGTGAGAAATATATATCTACTTTGAGGTGATGTATGCCATGGCATGGATAGTTCACAGGTAAAATAGCAAATCATGAGAAAACCAGACACTCAATGATAACATGTGATGCAGAGTCCAGGAACTGAACCCAATATCTCTGAGGTGAGAGGTCAGTGCACATTAATAGACCTCCTTGGCTTGGTCATAATGTTTTCCCATTTCAGATCACTTGTCATTCCCTTGAGAATAAGATTTTTTGTTTGAGGTGTATCCATATTCATTTGTCTTCTCATGTGCAACCATTAAACAAAGAAATGATACTTCAGATCACTTGTCATTCCCTTGAGAATAAGATTTTTTGTTTGAGGTGTATCCATATTCATTTGTCTTCTCATGTGCAACTGAGCACAACTGTCAAACACAGAAATGATACTCTAAGGAATGACATGTGTGCATCATTCAGATCTACTAACCTTAGCAATAGCATTTGTTAGTCTTCCTGTTATTCTTCTACAGATATTGGCTGCAAGAGAACTAGAAGCTGGAGGAAGCTCTCCTATTACTGTTTTAAGACCTGGAGAAAGGAAAGTATATATCAAACTACAGTCAACTCTAGCCTCGCTGACACCCCAATATTATGGACACCTGACACCCCAATATTATGGAC